TAATGGGGATTTCATCTCAGGTCTTCCTAATTCCAAAGTCCACAGGCTACTGCAACACAGTTCCTAGAAGGTTGCTACTCCCAGAGCTTCAAGCTGTCATTTACATGATAAACTGCTCTTAATCATTCCTGTGTTCTGAAGCAGAATTTTCTTTTTTTTTTTTAAATCTTTTTTTTATCGGTACTGGGGATCGAACTCTTGACCACCTGCTTGCAAGGCAGGTGCTTATGCTGCTGAGCTAAATCCCCGGCCCCTAAAGTAGAATTTTCAATTACCTAGTGGATCTTTCTTTTTAAACTCCCACAGACATCTTAAAATTAACATGGCATCATTTCTCTCCGCTGTAAACCTGTTCCTTCTCCAATATTTTTTAATTTAGTGTCATCATAATTACCCAGTTTCTCAAGGCACACATGTGATGTTTGACTTCTCTCATGTCTACCTGTTCATAAAATGTAAAAATTTTAACATCTAAAATCTCTGTACAGGGATTGGGGATTTAGCTCAGTGGAGCAACATCTGCCTGGCAAGTGTGAGGTCTTGAGTCTGATTGTCAGTATCCTCCCCCCAAAAAAATAAATAAATATGTTTGTCAAGCCGAGCAGGGTGGCTTACTCCTGTAACCCCAGTATTTGGGAGGCTGAGGCAGGAGGATCGTTGCAAGTTTGAGACCAGCCGGGGCTACAAAGTGAGCCCAAGACTAGCCTGAACCACAGAGCAAGATCCTGTCTCAAAAAGACAAATAAATAAATCTCTACAAACTATCCATTCCCACTGTCCTTTGAGCTACCAACATCTCTCAGCTACATTCTAATTGATCGTTCACTCTAATGCAGTGTGCACATGAACTGTCGATTAACTTTGTGATCAAGTTATTTTATTTTCCATGGCTCTCCATTGCCACCTAAAGATGAAGGGAAGGGAAGTTACACTATCTAAGTACAGTAGAAGACCCCTTTCATAATTTGGCTCCAAAAATAATTTCCTATTTCACCACTACTGTCATTTTGCTTCAACCCTACAACAAACAACTCAGACACTTCAAAACAAAAACCATTCAGGGGCTGGGGGTTTAGCTCAGCGGCATAAGCGCCTGCCTTGCAAGCAGGAGTCGTGAGTTCAATCCCTGGTACCGATAAAAACGAAAAAGACAAAAAAAAGGAAAAGAAAAAAAAAAACCATTCAGCTTTAATCTTTAATAACATTGTTGTGATGTCACTTCTCTTTTACATGAGGCAAACTTTTACTTAATCTTCAGGACGAAACTCTATCCTCTCCACTTCAAAGCTTTCTTGACTATCAATTTTTTTTTCTTCAGCCAAAGTTATTTATTTCTCTACCACAATTTATCACATATCTAGCAGTTTACCTCCTCTGATAGGCACTTGCTTTATTCATGTTTGTCCAGCACCCAACAGAATGGCTAGCCGTAGCCAGCACCCAATAAATATTTGCTGAGTTGTTTAATAATGCAGCATTTGCTGTGCAACCCTATACACCTTGGTTAGCAACTCAACCTGAAGTTTACATACCACTCAAAAGAATTTTCCTGCTGCAAAAAATGTTACAAATAGTTAAGATATGCAACAGCAGTGCCTTTACATGTCAAATCATTTTGCCAGTATTTTTCAGTATCCTTCAGAAAGATTCCTTTCCCAATTAACATTTTATTTTATACAGAGTCAGCAAAAACTGCAAAACTCACAGACACTATTAGAGATAATCCCAAGCAAAACTGTGTCATGGAGTACAGCTAGCTGAGTATCCTATGGAGGTTGTGAGGTCACAAATAACATGTAAGACTTGATCATCTTCCTTTAAGAGCAGACTGCCCAGGACAAGGAAACAGGTGTACTTACTTAAATGTGTATCATTTCAGTAAATTCCCAACAGAAGGGCCTATGCACATCCAATAAATTTCAGAAGATGAGATCAGCGTTGCTGACTATGGTACATGCACACTCATGAGGCATTTATCCCAATTAGTAATTGAAATTAAAATATGCAACATACACACTTGATCCGGGTTTGAACAAAATATTCTTTAAGCAAAAATAACAACATTCCCTCTTGTTTAAAACTATGCTGATTAACAATCTCTATTCCCCTTGTCAGCAGCTTATCTTGCTATAACTAAGACATTGTAAGTCTTCTTAGCCTTCAACAATTTCCCCTCTCACCATGTTAAACTTTATCTCTTATTTACCTATCAAAGATCATCTTCTCACAAAGAATCAACTCATCTGCTCATCTGGGAGCTCATCTTATTAAAAAACTTTTGCACAGCAAAAGAAACCACCAACAGAGTAAAGGGACAACCCACAGCATGGGGAAAAATGGTTGCCAGCTGTTCCTCAGACAAAGGATTACTATTGAGAACATATAGAGAACTCAAAAAAAGCAGAACTCCCAAATTTAAAGACCCAATTCAAATATGAGCATCTGAGATAAGCACACATTTTTCATAGGAAAAAATACAAACAGCATATATATGAAAAAATGGTCAACATCACTGGTCATTCAAGAGACACAAATTAAAACAACACAGAGATTCCATCCCAACCCAGAGCTAGTATCAAGAAATCAACCAGTAACAAATGCTGCAGGAGCTGTGGGGGAAAAGGAACTTTCTCCATTTTTGTGCAACCACAGTGGAAATCAGCATGAAGATTCCTCAGAAAACTAGGACTGGAGATCCTATTCAACCCATTCCCTTATGGATATCTTCCCAGAAGAATTAAAAACATCATACCACAATGATATATGAGCACCCATGGTTATAGCAGCACAATTTGTAATAGCCAGATCTTGGAAACAACCTAAATGTTCATCAACGAAGGAATGGATTTAAAAAAAAAAAAAAAAAAAAGTGGTCCTCTTATACAATGGACTACTAGTCAGCCACAAAGAAGGATAAACTGGTCACTTTGAGGTAAATGGATGCACTTCAAGACTATACTCATCAATGAAATAAACCAGATGTACATGTGTAAAATCGTGTTGGTGAAAGGGTAAATAAGATCCAAAACGTACAATAGATATTGTAAAATGGGACGCTTCAAAAGGAAAGAAACTGGAATGGCAGAATGGGAAAAAAAAGGGAGGGAAAAGAAAAAAATACATATATACACATACATAAAAAATAGTTAAGATAGTTATACTACTAATTTAGTTCATTGAAAAGGTTTCTGCTAATATTGTTTGGACAATTAAATGTCAATACCTTGTACCATAACTAATTTAAAGATAACAATATGCAGTGTATAATCACTGTTACCTTATTATCTTGTTTTGAAATTTTGAAAGTTTTCTCTTTAAAATAAACAAAAGACCATTTTCTGCTCCAGTCATGTTTCCTCAACATGCTCCCTCAATGACCAAATTTACATTAACTTTTCAGCACATAATTTCTTACGTCTTTTCTAATTTTACATCTCCTTCAAAGACCAGTTCAAATCTTACTTCTTCCGAAGTGTTCCCTAATTCAAACCACCTTCTACTGCATTTACAGGGTTCACGGTAACACTTCTTTGCAACAGTATCTCAGAGTGTCCCATCTGGTTTCCTTTTTCCCTAGCCGATCTGCTGTTAAGTGAAAAAGCCAAGTCTCCTATGTTATTTGTAACCTCACAACCCCACCACCACATCTAGCATAACACTGGAGTGGGCACATATATTAAATAGGTGAAGAACTGAATCAAATGCTCTGTATACGTTGATACATCACCTATGCCCAGTGTGAAACATAGTATCTATTGTGTGCTTACTCTGTGGCAAGCACATTGTCAGGTTTGAGAAGCAAGGAAGAAAATAGAAGCAATTCCTGTCCTAAAAGATATTACAGTCCAGAGAGTTTTTGAATTCTCAGTAACAGTTACAGAGCAAGGTTTACCGATCCTAACATTTAAAAGTTCACAAAACATGCATTGTAGATTCTCAGTTATAAAACTGAATCTGAAAACTTCAGACCTTGATGAAAACTTTGAAGTTATTTTCCTAAATTTTCTTGCCTGAAGAAATTATTATATTTCAGTATAGTCTTTTTACTAGTTCTAGGCATCGCCTTAGTTATCACCAACTCAGGAAAAAAAGGACTTCCAATACTTCTCTTCCCAAGTATGGTAACTACCAGTACCTACCCTGAGTGAGTCTGATACACTTAAGAGAGCCCTAGGCTCATGATTTGCTTCGCCTTTATACTCTGGTTTCTCCGAACCAGCCCACATGTTCACTAAAATCTGTATTTTCTGTCTGGTAAACAGCGAAACGATACTGCTTTTAGGGGAAAAAAATTTTTGTATACTTCTTTGGCCCTAATAACGCCAAAAGTATAACAAATTCTGACAAATGTAGCCACAGATTTGAGTTTATGGGATTAACAAGTGAGAATGGCTGTCAGCCTTAGCCTCAAAATCTGTGACAACAGTGATAAAATGCCATGGAAGCACAAGGACATACACGTGAGGTTAGAAACCCAGCAACAGGTCGCATCTAGGCTGACAGATCTCCTTCCCCGGGTCGTGGGTGTGTCTGACGCGCACGCAAGCACTGATTCACAACTCTCTCCATAACAACCGACTCCTACTCGGTGACTGGGCAGGGCTGGGGCTCCCACGACCCCAAAGAGTCCCCTGAACTCCAACCTGGGGTCACTGGGGTCCGGCTCCAGTGGGTCTCTGGCAACCGCGTCTCAGGCAGGAACTTGTCCTTCTGGGAGCCTAGCAGACCCACCCCAGTACAGCACTACAGACACACATACACACACACCCCTTCCAGAACTATGAGAGTCCACCACTCCCTAACTACAGCTTCCCTGGGTGCCCGGCCCACGGAATTGACCCTCGTCGGCCCCCGTCCCCGCTCCTTCCCCGCCCCCGGAAAAAACGACTGAGGGGCGTGGAGCGGCGCGCGCGGGTACGGAAGGAGCGCGCGTCCCCGCGCCCGGGGCCCCGCAGCAGGGGCGGCCAGGGCTCTTCTGCCCTGGAGGCCCGGCTACTCACCCCAACGATGTCCCTAGGCGAGCTAGCCGTTGGCTCGGACGCTCTTCCGCTTGCTGCGCTGTCTCCTCGTAGCCGTAGCCGCCGTCCTCGCCGCCGCCGCCGCCGTCGCGGCGCGCGCCCGCCTTTACGCACACCGCCGTGGCCGCGCACGCGTCTCTGCGCGCTGGCGTCACTTAGCAACCGAGGCTGTGGTACCTGGGAGCCGGAGATCTAAGGTTCCTTGATCCTCTCCCGCGGTTCTGCGGCTTCTCCTTCACGCGCGCGACCCCGCGGCCCCTCCTCAGCAGGGACCTCGGCGTGTGGCCCCTAGGTCGGCCCCCAGCTCCGGGTAAGCGCCTCACCACGCGTCACCATATTGCGTCACCGGCGCGGTGCGTGTCACTAGAGATGGGAAGGTCCAGCGTGCCTGTGGAGAGAGCAGTGTCGTCGTGCAGTCGGACACGGCCTGATCAGCAGCTTATGCGATGTGCAAAGAGGTTCTCCGAGCACTTGGACCTGAAGCAGCTGGATGCAGCTGATGCCGAGGCAGCAAAGTGTGATGGAGCAACACTTGAATCCCTCCTGACTTTCAGTTCCCTTATTCTGTAAGTGGAATTAGGGCTGGAGATATAGCTGAGTGATGGAGCACTTGCCTAACATGTCTAAGACCCCTGGCACCTCAAAAAATAAAATAACATGTAGATAAGTGTAAGTGGGATTAATACCCATCCAGCCAATACTGGAGACTTATGAGGCTAAGAACAAATAATGTATGCAAAGGTACTTTTTAGAAGATAAAGCTCATTCAGTATGTAAAATATCTTTCTCATGAGAGAAAGCAGAAAAGCAAGAGCAATAAGTGTTCCAGGAAAATTGAGTCAACAGTAGCCAGGAGCTCAGGAGATAAAAGGAAATTTTATTTAACGCTGGCATACTCCTAGAGGAGTAATCTCCAATCTAAGGCGTTGAATACAAGAAGTTTGTCTTTTTTATAGGATGGCAAGCGGGAGTTAAAAAAGCTATGATAAGAACAGCTGAAGGCCATAGTATAATGGATAGCTTGTGGTGAACACAGTTGTATGTAGGAAAATTGTTTTTAACACATTCACAGAAATTTCACTTTGATAAGAAATTGTGTGATCTGTCTTGAGTTCAGAGGCAGAAAACCAAATAACTACAGCTACATTAGACAAAATGGCTGCAGTTAGGTCAGATTTCTGCTTTACCAACACTGGCCAATTGAGACTCTTAGTGACACCCTATCTCAAAATGAAATATCAAAAAGGTCTGAGGCTGTGGGTCGGTGCAAGGGCCCTAGGTCAATCCTAAGTATGAGAAGAGGATGCATGAGTAACACAATGATAGCAATAACATTTATCAAGACAGGAAGAAAGATAAGTCTGGGTTTTGCATCTGAACCTAAGTTCCTAGCTGAGAACACCTGATTACCAAAGGATGATAACATTCCTTAGCAGATGACTAAATACATGGAGAATGATGAATTCAAATGTGCATATGTTTCTTGAAGAAACACTTCTCACAATGCCTCCTTCACACCTGACTTCTTGCCTGTCCCAGACTCCCTCCTTGATTGGTGAATTTAAAAAGAGAAACTATCTTGTCTTTGGGGAACTGTCCTGGTGTTCTCTGCTTGTCCAGGAGCAGAGAGTGGAAATAGGGGGCTATTCAGTGCTATAAAGCAAGTAAACCAATTTAATTCTGTCATTTAACATTAGGAAACTCTCTGTGTAATATCAAATACCAACTTTTTTAGGTGTGTTGTACAGAATAATGGTCCACAAAATGACCTACTCTATTTTCTATGTTGCACTGCATGGCAAAAAAGACCTTGTAGGTGTGAGTAAGGATCTGGGGAGATTATCTTAGATTACTGGCCAGACTGTCAGAGGAGGAGAAGCAATAATGGAAGCAGAGATCAAAATGATTTGAAGATGCTATACGGTTAATCTTCAAGAAGAATCCAAGGAATGCAGGCAGCCTGTGGAAGCTGGGAAGGCAAGAAAATTTATTAGAACTTCTGGCCTCTGCAACTGTAAGATAATAAATCTGTATTGTTTTAAATCACAAAGTTTGTAGTAATTTGTTACAAGAAAAACTACTAATTAAGGAGAGAGTTGGTTTTCTGTTTTTTCTCTTTTATCTAGAAAAGGATACAATTTATTTGGCCTCCAAAGCGATGTGTGCCCTGGTGGAGAAAACCTACATATTCAGAGGAAACTGTCCAATAAACTATCAATTATGCAGGTCAATGAATGAGGAATGAGGTTGAGTTGAAAAATGAAATAGATTTGAAGAACATTAACTATAATTGTTCAATTAAGCCCTAAGCATAGATAAAGTCAATCAGGGAGAAAATACAATTTCCCCAACTTTAGATTAGATTCATTTGCCTGTAACATCACACTTAAAATCCTATTCAGATCATTTTCCAAAGCACTCAGGGCCAATGTATGGGTGCACAGTTTCTATCCAAATACTATGTGATATTTTGCAGATACAAACACATAGGTGAATAGCTAGTTGCCATAGATTCTTTTAAAGCAAGGTATAAATGTCCTGTAACTGAATACAATTATTGTAGACTATAATAAAATCTGTGCAAAGTGAAATGAGGGCTGCACACAGGGATCCAGATGAAGAAGCAATCAGTTCTGCTTAATGTAGTCATGGTATTGTCCTTTGCTGCACTGCCAGGGAGACACAGGATCCCTCAAACATGGGCAGAAATATGCCAGGGCATTACCCTGGGGTTAAAAAGACCAGGAGAGTTGACGTTCAGCCAGTGACATCACTTAACATTCCTTCCAGGTGTTTTTGTTATGATCTGTTTATATACAGCTGTTTCTAAACTAACACCATGTAATGGGCAAAATGTCCACAAATAAACTTTAGCTGTGGGACTTACTTATGTTTCCACCATATCCAAGAGGAAATGTATTCATTGTTATAAACGCTATGCTTTGGTAGGGTTTGATATCTAATCGTCACATTATCTCACCTAATTTCATGAGCGTTAGCTTTTTGTACTGAGTACCAACATCTTAGTTTTAGTCAGAGGGATGAAAATTTTAAATAATTTGCCCAAGGTCAAAACAGTCAAGGAGTGAACTGACAATCAGACACAGCACAAGTCTCTGCAGAAAACACTGCCTTGAGTCCTCAGTTGGTTTAAGTGCCCTTCCTATGTACTGTTAACATAATGTGCCTACACTGTAGCATTCGCAGTAATAATGATACTTTATATGTGCATTACTACAGTTCTGATACCTTTTATCTGTGTTTAAGTGTGTTACTGATATTAGCTCACTTAAGCCTTATAAAAACTTTGAAGCAAATGATAGTATTCATCAAAATGTTTATAGATAAGGAAGCTGAGTCACAGGAAGGTTAAATTATAACTCAGAGTTAAAGAATAAATGATGGAACCAGGATTCCAATCCATGTAGCTGAATGCTAGTATCTGTACTCTGAATCTCTGGACTGACTACTACCATCATGCAGTGTGGCCCTTTGCCTGTGTTGAGGGAGTCTAGAAACCACAGCTCGCCGAACTCACCAGTGCATTTATTGTAGGGTTGTTGTATGCGACACCACTCTGTACTCCTTATATGAACACAGGTTTTTCCATGAGTTCAAAAGCCATGGACAGGTGTGACTCCTCCTGAGTAACAGATGTGTTTCTCCTTATAGGGAATGTAAATTGCATAACCAGCTGATTGTCTCTTTTCATATTGTCTGCCAAGCTCTGTTGCCGTAGCACTTGTACCTGAGTGGATTGGCCTGCATATCTGTATTTGCTGGCATGTTACTCAGCTTTCTGTCACTATAACAAAATATCAGAGAGTATCACCTTATGAAGCAAAAAGGTTTATCTTGGGTCACAGTTTCAGATGTTCCAGTCCATGATGAATGGCCCTGTTGTTTTAGGCCTGTAGCAAGGCAGCACATCTATGATAGGACTGTGTGGCAGAGCAGAACCACTCCATTTATGGCCAGGAAGCAAGAAAAGAACAAGGAAGGGGCAAGTGTCCCACACTGCCTTTCAAGGACACAACCTCAATGACTTAAAGGCATCCCCGCCTCTAGAGATTCCACCACCTTCCAATATCATCACACTGGGTACCAAGCCATAGGACATGGTTCTTTGGGAATATTTCAGATACAAATGACAGCACTTGGGGACATTTTTCAAAATAAATAATTGGGAAAAAATCACCTAAATTTTTACCTTCTGAGTTGTTTATAATATACATTTTTAAAATTAGAAAAAATAAACCTTGCTTTTAAAATTGTTTGCAAGTTTTGATAATTGCTCATGTTTTGATTCTAACTAAGAATAGCTTTCAGAGGCTGAAGATATAATTCAGAGGCAGAAGTGCCTGCCTGGCATGTGCAAAATCGTAGTTCAATTCAATTCCCAGTACAAAGAAAAAAGTGATAAAGGAAAAAATAAAATGTTTTAAAATAAAAAACTTAGTTTCAAGTTAAATTGTATGAGTTAAATATAAAAATCTCAATTCTAATAAGATCAGTACGACCTGACTTTGAAAGTCTAGATCAATAGAATAATTGTACAGACAGATCAGAACATTAATATCTAGTTAATCTCTTTGCTCACCATGTGTCAGAAACTAAAATAATTATCTCTGTATGCATCCTCCAACTTAATTAGCTCAGATCCAGTAACTACAAACCAGATTTGTTTGTTTCTCAAGGAGATCTTCCAGGTAGATTTACTGACCAATCGCTTTTTGGAAAGCCATGTTTCCTGAAAGCATTATTTATATTTTTTCTGTAGTCAGAGTGAACCAATGATTTCTTTGACATCTTCACCATTCTCCAGCAGGGCATTTCAATGCTGACAGCCTGGGTAGATGAGTGCAGTGCTTTGTATTCAGCTGAGCAGATTGTTCCAGAGTGGTACGGTATAAACCTCCAGGATTAGCAGATTTAAAATCTTTTGATCTCTAAATGATGATAGCAAATGTGAATTTAAAAAAAAAAGTAGAAACAAGACTTGAACATTTCATTCCCTTTATGACACAACTTGACAGCCTTGAACACTTACTTTTTTCTTTAAAAAGTTGAATTTTAAAGAAAACCTCAGATAGCCTGCAAGGGCTCCGTCTACCTACTGTCATAGATGGAGGAATGTTCCTACGAAGGTGACGATCTAAATGAAGTGACTTACTCTTTACAAAAACCTGTCAGCCCCCTCCCACTGCCAAATTTCAGGCTGAATTCCAAACGGTCTGTGTCCATCTGAAGCCAGCCGGAAAGTGCACCCCTGACAGTTTTGTCCTGAGCTTGTTCACAGAATTTTTCACCTCCACATGCAGTGGTTCCTGGCTTGAGTATTTTGTCTTCTGCATATGGTAAAGAGCTCTAGAAGGCACAGATATACAGACCCCACCTTTGCCTTCACTGTAAAGCTGTTCATGTGCATTTGATCACTTTATGTCCCTTCTAGAGAGACTTTTACTTTTCTGGAACCGACTACTGTACCCTGAAATGTGTGGTCATCCTTGAGTAACTGATACTCCTTCCTTATAAACAAGTGAATTGCATAACAACGTGTTTCCCTTTTTACCATCACTGCATGAAATTCCGATTGAAAGTCATGTACCTGTGGCCTGCATATCTGCTTTCTACTTGGTTCCCGGTCAGAACTTTCTGTTTAAATCTGAGTTTTCTCTCACTTTGATCTGTCGATAGTCTGTTACATGCTGTGTGTGATTATACTACCCGTGTCAAGTTGTTTGTGGAAACAGCTGAGAAATGAACAGTAAATATGCTTAGGACAACAATCTTATCCCAAACCCTTTCCCTCATATCAAGCAAGAATTAAAACTTATATATTCTCTTATGTGGATAAGAATGTGACTGAGGAGTGAGAGCCTCTCTGGGAAAAACAACTCAGATGCTGGAATTTGACAACATGCAGAGGGCCAGATGAGTGGAGAGGGATTCTCACAACCCCAGGAAGAAACTGAAGGAAAAAGAAAAATAGGAAGAAAAAGGAAAAATGTGGGTGGAGGAATGAAGCCGGACATGCTCACTGAGTCCCGTCCTGCTGTGCTGGGAGCACCGTGGAGTCGCATGATCCACGGTCACGCTGAAGCTGCGGCTGCTGATAACAGGACTTAGTGAGTCCCAAGCGCTTGGCGGGAGGACAAGGCACAAGCATGGAGTGGAGCCAAGATGGAGAACTGCATTAATTCTCGATGAGTATTGGAAATTGGGTCCCATGGCGGGTGAGGCCGGCTGAAAGACATCTTGGAGTGGAGCAGAGTCTGGTGCTGCGGTGGCATCAGTCAGCTGCCCCTGGCTCAGAGAGGACTGGTGGGATCAGCTTGGGCTGAGTCACAACCCTGGTCGGGACCCAATAGCCAGGGATGAAACTGTCTCAACCCTGTGACTGTGACATAGCCACAGCGCAGCTTAAGTTTTTGAAGGCACTTGCCGGTTCACTGGCTCGGAGAAGAACAGTTAGCCCGTAGTACCTGCACGCACCTCAGATAACAGCAAACTGGAGAAGGCAGCAAAACCCCAGCCAGCATGCTTCAGAAAAACAGTAGGCAGTACGGAAAGGGCCTGAGACCTGCACCACACACCTGTCTGAAAGAAAACAGAAACATGACAAGAGAAAACAAAAAAATAGGAGAAAACCTCCAGCTACTGACCCTGGGAAAATAAGCCCAGGAGAGGTAAACACAGAAGAAAACCAGGGCAGCAATCATGCAATATTAGCCACAACATCAATGGACATAAAGAAATACTTTCATGACCTATAGATGAACTTAAAACTGAAATACTAATCCAAGTGAGGCAAGATATAAAAAGATTAATTAAAGAAATGCTGAGACCTCTCAAGAAAAAACAGATGGAAGAGTGGAGGAACCCAGAAAAGGAAGAGAAACCTTTGGTGAAGAATATAAACAAAATCTAGAATACATGAAACAGATCCAAAGAAATTACCAGGAAACTAAAAACTCCATTGAAAGCTGGCAAAATGGCTTGATAGAAACTAAAACTAGCCTTTTGAAACTTGAAGAGAGATTTACAATGTGTGATCCTGAAAGAAAAGACCTGTTAAAAATAACAAGGAATCAGGAAGTAACAATTCAAAGGCTAGAAGATAACAAGAGGATCTATAACTTAAGAATAAAAAACATGAGCAAAGAAGCGGGAGTAACCACAAATGAATTACAAAACTATTCACAGAAATAATTAAGGAAAACTTCCCAAGCATAGGAAAAAAGAAATGATATCCAGATAAATGAGGCATACAGAACTCCAACCAACTCCAACCAAAACAGGTCTACACCCAGACATATAATAATCAAGATCCCAGAAATCCACCACAAAAACAGAATATTAAAAGCGGCCAGAGAGAAGAAGCAGATCAAAATAACAACAGACTTAGCAACACAAACTATTAAACTGAGAAGAGCATGGGGGAAAATAGTCCAAACCTTGAAAGAAAATAACCTCCAACACAGATTGATGTACCCTGAAAAACTCTCTCTGAAAATTAATGGAGAAATAAGATGTTTCCAAGACAAGGAGAAACTGTGGGAGTTCATGACCACCAATCCAACCCTACAAAAAATACTGAAGGACATTTTATAGAGAGGGAGAAAAACATACCAGGATTCCAGCAACAGTGGCAGAGAGGCCTCAATGAACAGGGCAGACAGTGGAATGAAGAAGACAAGTGGACAAATAATAGCAGAAAATTTTTTTTTTAATTTTTTTTTGTCTTTTTAGTTTTTTTATTGGTACCAGGGATCGAACTCAAGACTGCCTGCTTGCAAGGCAGACACTTATGCCGCTGAGCTAAATCCCCAGCCCCTATAATCTTTAATATACACTAACAAAAAGAAACACAGGCAGAGTAGATTAGGAGGCAGAATTCATGGAGATGCTCTGAATAGGAAATAACCTGAAAGAGTGTTAATAAACTGAAAGTCAAAGATGAGAAAACGATACTCTATGTGACAGGGAACCAGAGAGAAATAGGGACAACTCATCCAGCAGCTGCAGATAGGTTGGAAAGTTATGACACGTTTGTGCAGTGTAGAACTACACAGCTAGAAGGAAGGAAAACCTTGTGGCTTTAGTAAGTAAAGGAGTACAGCTCAAGATCAAGCTCAGGGGTAAAAAGGTTCAGCACCACTCAGATAATGGGTTGATCCCCTAATCGAAAAACTAAAGGAGCTAGCGGACCCAAAATATACAAAGCACCCTGAGAAAAGGAAAGGTGAGGAATTGCCTAAAAAAAAGGAAGGCAGAGGACATTGTTAGTAGTGTATCAGGATTTAAAAGCCACAGTAGTCTTATCACTCTGTTTAGTTTGATTTTATTTTGTTCCGGTCTGTCTACTCATACTAGATTTGAGGGCACAGACAGCTATCCCAAAAATAGCAGGCTATACTATGGTAACTGTCTTGAATTTAACTTAAACTGAAGCCCTGTATTACTTACATTGTCTTACTATGACTGATCTTATTTGAAGCTGGTTTGTTAGACCGCTGTTTTACCTTGACTGATTTTATTTGAATTTGATATGCTTGATAGTATCAACTCTAAGAGCAGAGGCAACTACTCTGAAGATGACAAGATGTGACCGGCGCAGCTCCCCAGTGAGACAGGAAACACTTCAGGTGGGTAACAGGAACTGCCAACTTTATTGTTGCGGGTTCTGGCTTATATATCTGACTGTAGCCAATCAGGCTGCCACGAGGGCTGCCACGAGGAAGGGCTGGAATGAGACGCGGGCTCTGGCTAATATACTCAGCTGTGGTGAATACGAAGTGATTATGGGGTGGCTAATTTGGAGAGGGACGTAGCGCATTGCGGAAGCTGGCGTGGTCCTTAGTCCCGGGTGGGGTATGGTATGTTGAGCACCTGCGCCCAACAAAGATGTAATAAAATACCCATTCTGGTTTGATTATTAACTTCTTTTGAAGTACTACAATGTCTCCAATGTTGTGTTCTTATTAAAATAGCTATGTAATGCTATGTTCAATTATAATATGTCTGACGATGTGGACAATTCTATTGAAAATAACAAGAGAAAGCATAGTAACTACTGTAGATCACCTAATATTGTGGTTTAATATGTCTTTTTCATTTCATGTTTTTCTAGGAATTTGTTTTTTTTGTCTTGTTATGATCTGTTTTTCCCTATAATACAGAAAGGATAGATGTACATGTAGAGATTCACACATGTGGAGAATTTCTAAACATTTTATGGGAACAGATTATATAATGCACGATATAATGAACAGATACTCTGAAGAAGAGACACTAAGAAACCGAGTGCTAATTCTGTAGCATTATGATATAAAATCTAGCAATACTATTATTCACTGTTCAGTTTGATATTAGTCTAGTCTCTTATGTTCAATTTCAGCATATGTAAAGATAAGGACAGCTACTACGAAGAGAATGAGAGACACTATGGTAGTATTATTGTCTTCCCCAATGTCAGGTCTTGAAGACCTAAAAAGCCCTCCTCATCCTGTAATGATTAGATTAGTTCTATAATGTTCAATATGTATTCAAAGTGTGTGAAGATGGTGACAACTATTTTGAAGAAAACTAGAGACACTAAGACAGTGAAAATCTCCAGTGGACTTGCTTTGAAATCCATGTTTCTTAAAATTGTTTCCTTATGATCTGTTTTGTTCTGTTTCTTACCCTCTTTATAATAAAAGAAAGTAAAAAGTTGCCTTTGAAAAGCTAAAAAAATAAAATAAAATAATGTGACTGAGGAGTTTTCCAGAGCTTTATAAGAGATAAATAAGGGCTAGAACAAATCTTCAAAAAATTTTAATGTTATTGCCCCTCCCAGAATGTCATTGACTTGATTTTTTTCTTCTGAGGAAGATGGGTAGGCGAAATAATAGCTGACAAGCATAAATGGAAAGCTTCAAGTCCCACGTTCTCCAATCAACAATTTTCTCACCATCTCCCTTAGTGTTCTCTCCCAGTAAGCCTGAATTTGAAAGAGTAGCTCTCTGCATATGGAATCATGTTCCTTGTTTTAAACTCCTTTCCACCTCACATATTAATGAGCTGATTGTACTTGCTGGTGAATATATTAGCATACATACACTTTTAACTGAAGCTACATGGAAGATCTACAAGCAGGATTCAGTGTTGTCTTTTTTGTCTTTCTGAGACAGGGTCTCACTACACGCTTCAGGCTGGCCTTGAGCTTACTTTGTAGCCCAGGCCAGTCATCAACTTGCAACAATCCTCTGTCTCAGCCTCCCAAGTGCTGGGATTACAGACATGACTGGTGGTTATTTTAAATTAAATTAAAAATTTTGTTCCTAGCCTAGTGTGGTGGTGCTTGGCTGTAATCGCAGCACTCTGGGAGTCTGAGGCAGAAGGATCCAACTTACAGCTCTACCTGGGCAACTGTGTGCAAGTTAATGAGACTTTGTCTCAAAATTTAAAAAAAAATAAAAGGGGACTGGGAGCTCAATGCAGATTCCCTCAGTTGAATTCCCAGTACTTAGGAAAAAAGTCAGTTCCTCAGATCTATTAGCTACATGTCAAGAACTCAGTAAACACAGAGCCCAGTGCATCGGACAGGACATATGTAGAATATTCCTGTTACTGCAGAATGTTCTATTGAATTGTGCTGGTATGTCAGTCATGTGAGGGTCAGACAAATAAGTCAGGGCAGAGTAATTTCAGGCTAAAATACCAGGGGGAAGTATGATACGGGCAGGAGAGGCATCTAGATGGCTTCTGCCAGAGATTCTTATTAAAGAGGTACCATGGTGTTTTTCATAAATAAGGTAATCCTGATGCAGAAAGGATGTGGACTTTACTGAGGAAAATCAATGTGGGAGGGTAAATGAGATGGCATTTTAGATTCACACGTTTGTTTAGCTGTGAATGGGAAGGGGAAATTCTGGTTTTGTAGAAGGAGGGTAGAGTCAAAGACATAACTGAAAGACTAGAGGAATATTTCCAAGACCTTTGACAGAAAAAAAAAAGCCTTAAAGAAAGTAATCTTAAAGCAAAAAATATGCAAAGGAACTGAAGGAGCATTGTATAAACTAGAAAATGCAAATTGCCACGTTAGTGTTTTAAAAAGTTCTCAACTTCACGTGTCCTGAGGGAAATTCAAATCAGATGAGAGTGTGAATTTTTATAGATATCTTAGAAAGTAATCTGTTTCTGTCTACCAAAATTAAAAATGAACTTATAGATCTTCCTAAGAGTCTCTTCCTTCCTCCCCTCAAAAATGCCAACAGGTAAACCACATGTACATGTGTAAGAACGCGCCTCGCAACATTATTTGCAATTTAAAAAAATGGAAACAATGAGAGAGTCGGTCAATAATGAATAAATGAGTTGTGAGACATCTGTGCAACAGAATACTATTCAGTTATATAAATGAACTACTCCTATAAGTATTGATCTATAAGATGTAATTGATGTATTAGTAAGAAAAAAAGCTAGATGCTAAGCACAGTATAGGACCTGATATCATATTTGTGGGGAAAAAAAGGAAGAAATGTATTAGTTTCCTCTGCAACAGCGTAAAACAATATACATTTACCCTCCTACTGCTCTAAAGACTGGAAATCCAACGTTCTGAAAGAGTGAAAGATATATTATTTGCTGTGCAGCAAAGATGTCTAAAGTGCCAAGTAACCGGAACCCGCTCCTCCAATGGAGTCTGCTTTCCTGAAGTCTGTATATGGCGTGGTCCACCCATCAGCTACAAGTCAGAGCCCAGGAGAACCATCCGCGAGCACAGGTTACCCAGAAAGCATCTTCATGTCTACAAGCCTGTTCAGGAAGCCACGTTTAACTTGGCTGTGGACACCTGGGCTACCAAAGAGCACTTGACAGTGACTGGGTTCATCTCTGGCTAGCAGAAGCCTACTGGCCTTTCACCTCTGATATCAGGGATGCTGTCTGCCAGACTTTTGCAGAAATTTGCCAGCATCCACAGTTCCTTCCCAAACAATTAACCTCACCAAGATTCAAGTGCCCGTGAAGAACTTACTCAAGCTGTACGACAGTGGGGACCCTGGTGACCTGATACCAGAGGGCTGGTTTACTAGATTGAACTCCATGTTCTGAGCTGTCAATTTTTTTTCTCTCTCTCTTTTTTTTTTTTTTTTTTTTTTTTTTGCCTTTTTCCTTTTTATCAGTACCAGGGATCGAACTCACGACTGCCTGCTTACAAGGCAGGCGCTTATGCCGCTGAGCTAAGTCCCCAGCCCCCGAGCTGTCAATTTTTAATGCATTGGAAATTAAATATATGGGAAAATTTGTAGTTGAATTTACCTTACTCTGTCAACAGTAAGCTGTAAAAACAGAACTATGACACATTTTTAAAAGTAAGCAGAGCATTTTATGTCACAGAATTCCTTAAACCAATTTATTCTTAGTTGATAATGGATATAATTTTTTCTTGAAAAGGTGTGATTTTTTAATAGACTACAGACACATCGATCAGATATCTATGATTAATCGAAAACCAAAATAAATACATTTTATTATATCTCCATCTTCGAGTATGTTTTCTGAAAACTGTAGTAACATATATTGACAGCAATACTTTTATAATATTTCTACAGGTCTCTTCCACTTGAGCAAATTTCAAAGTATTTTCAAAATAGTTGCTTACACATGTAGAATTTCACATCATTGTGATTATTTCTACATTTTTGACAATAACCAGGTATTTGACAATAACTGTGTTCCCTCATTTCGTACATAGGCTTTGACCACCATGCAACATCATCTCTGCCGTATATATTTCTTAAAACAAAAGTAAGGTGTAAATGACTTGATCCCCCCTGCACACGCATACTTGGGAGGAAAAAGGTACCAATAAAAGTCCCTCCCATGGTTAAGAGGTAAAGCAACACCAAACTGCAAAGAGGTTTTCATAAAAGTACAATTAATTTAGGGGATTTTGTTTCTTAGAATTTGATGTGCCAAAGAGACTAATAATGCTGAAGGACTTTAAGCTCAGAAGGAATTTTGTTTAACAGTTTTAAATAGAATTTAAACAGAATTCTGTATTCTATAACAAAACACATACTATTCCTTGGACAAGAAACAGTGAAAAGGGGACTATTCTTGTCCAAAGAATATCTGCAAAACTCAGTCACACGCTTGCCCACAGAAATTAAAAATAAACACACACATAGTGTATGCTTTCTAGCTACAATGCAATAGAACTAGAATTAATATTTTAAAAGGTGGCAAGAGCTGGAGATGTAGCTCAGTTTTACAGCCTGTGGTGAGCGTGGGCGAGGCTCTGGGTTCCATCTCCAGCTCGGAAAAATTACAGCAAATCCAGAAGTATTTAACTCGAATTGTTACTAGCAGGCATTCCAAAATGAAAAGAGATACCAGCTGCAGGATGAAACCGGTATTGGAGTTCGCGGTGAAGAGACAGAAAGAGCCTGGGCCGCAGGGATGACACTTTCACTTGAATCGTACCAACTGAAATGGAGCCATACTTTGTCTGCACCCGAGTTACGAGTTACGCGAACCTTTAATTTCCTTGTTATTTAAATCTTCTTGGCTTCCAGCCGGAAGCATTCGATCCCATGCCATCAGGTTAAAATCTTGTCATTCTTTTATTTCAATTATTTATGTTAGAACTTGAAATAGTATTTCATATAGCTTTTCAATATGTCTAGTATTTACTGAGCCAGACATCATTTCATTTGATAACTATTATGAGAGAAATAATAATAGATGGCACTATTACCTGGCTGAAACTGTTCTAAGCATTTTTACACATATTAACTCATTGCATGTCCTCGGCAATACCATGAGATAAGATATGTTATTCTCTTCATTATATAATAACATTTAACTCCAGCCCAGTTCAAGGGAAAACAGAATTCTCCAGTGCTATGCTGTCCATTACACTAGCCACCTGTGGCCACTGAACACTTGAGATGTGGTCTAAATGTGACGGTGTGCATACCAGATTTGAAAGGCTTTGTATGAATAAAATAACACGAAGCCAGGCGTGGTGGCTCATGCCTGTAATCCCAGAACTCAGGAGGACCATTGCAAGTTCAAGACCAGCCTGGGCTACATAGTGAGCTGAGGGCCAGTTTGAACTGCATAGCGAAACCTTGTCTACACACACACACACACACACACACACACACACACAAACAAAGAGGAATACAAAATATCTTGGAAGTGTACTAAACTGATTATCTGTTTAAGATATTTTGGATATATTGTCTTAAAACATGGTGAAAGTTAAATTTATTTTTGACATCTTCCTATGCTTTCTTTAAAAAAAAAAGTCATATGCATGGCTCGTTTTATGTTGCTTTTGGACAGTGCTATACTATTGTGGTGCAGTGCTGGGCCAGCCGGAGCAGCTTCGTTTAGAAACTAAATAAAAAATCTGAATGAAAACCTCGGGGTGACGCCCTGAAAACCTCGGGGTGACGCAAGCCCTCTGCGTGTGTGTGTGTGTGTGTGTGTGTGTGTGTGGGTGTGTGTGTGTGTAATGAAATCTCCATTGGGCTATAAATCACTTGTTTAAAGTAGTTTGTTCCATAGGGTTGTGCAAACATCTAACTTGAAACATTTGCATCACCACAAAAAGAAATCTCACTGCCGTTGTCCGTCACTCTCCGCACTCCCCACGCCATGCCCTCCGCCCCAGGCGATGGATACTCTCAGTCTGGAGAATTCACAGGAATGGAATCCCGCGATGTGCAGGCTCTTGTGACTTGTGGCTTCTGCACTGACCACCCTGTTTCCTTCTGTGGCCTTGCTAAGTTGTGAAAACCGCTGCTTTAGGTAGAAATGGAGATGAAGCAGCCGCCGAGCTCCTGAAAAACAAAGGGTATTTAAAAAAAATACCCTGATCATAAAAGAAAAAGAGAACTCAGAAAGACAGACAGCAAAAGGTGATTAAGCTTTTCATGTGAGAAAATAAGCTATTAGGGCTGGGGGTTTAGCTTAGCGGCATAAGCACCTGCCTTGCAAGCAGGCGGTCGTGAGTTCAATCTCCGGTACCGATAAAAATGAAAAAGACAAAAAAAAAAAAAAAAAAAAAAAAGAAAATAAGCTATTTACTTTTGTTCCAAAAGTCTAGGATGACATGGAGGCCAAATACAGGTATACATGAATTATATTTCTGGCTTTGCTCTATAACAGTTTTAATCTTTATAAACTCCTTATGTTACCCAGAAAATGATAGTTAAAGCTATGACAGTGGTGACATTACCAAAGTGGGGAAACTAGGGCAAGAAAAGGCTGGCACTGAGAAGAGAATGTTGGGAGACACATCCTAGGCGGTTTACAAAAGGGTTCATGTTCATTTCCCCCCTGAAATCTAGCCATACCCCTGTGGGGAAGTGGTCACTGTCACCCTGTTAGCGCACAGCTGGTGGATCACAGTTAACATCACCAGTGGTGTATCCACAGCACATCCCCTTGATGTGTGATAATCACTTTTTACCTGAGGTCTTCCTCTTCTAAACTGGTTACTTCAGTTAGATCATGACAAAAATCAGAAAATGCATATTGAGAGTATTCTACAAAGTGTCCGACACTTTACACTTCATATAAAACAAGGATTCTGCAAAACTGTCTAGCAGAGCTCAAGGAGCACGATGAGCACCGCCCCTGTATGCACACGTCACTTTTTTCATTTATAAGCACGGATTCATGTTGCAAAATCACAAATTCACATTGGTATCCTCGTCCCCTTTTTTGGTCAAGTACCAGAGGTTGACCTCAGGGCCTTTTCACTGTGCTACCCTCAATTTTTACTTTTTTTCTTTTTCTTTCTTTTTTTTTTTTTTTTTTGTCTTTTTCATTTTTATCGGTACCGAGGATCGAACTCACAACCGCTTGCTTGCAAGGAAGGTGCTTATGCCGCTAGAGCTAAACCCCCAGCCCCCAATTTTTACTGGTTTTATCTGCAGACAGGTTCTCACTAAGTTACTAAGTTGCTCAGGCTGGGCTTGAACTTGCAGTCTTCTGCCTCAGCCTCCCAGGGTGCTGGGAAACTACAGGCATGCACCCCCCCCCCCTGCCTGGTATCCTCTTTGTTAACTGAAAAATTCCCTATATATTGTCTCACTTTACTGTGGAAAATTTCAAACACACTGCAGAATTATCTGGGAATAGTGTGGTAAACTCCATGCAGCCATCAGGGAGCTTCGGCGTCTCTTAGGTTTGGAGCCAGGTCATGATGAGAATTTTAAGGAGTGCTGGAAAAAGCTTTTTAGTCCATATTAAAGTCAAATGAGGAATGAGAAGTTATTTTCTTTCATTGGACATTGTTGTTCTACAGGACACTGTGGATGGTGATGATAAGCATCAAAGATGCTAAGTATTATCAGCTCAAAGAAAAAAAGGTTTAAAAAAAATGACAGGATGAGAAAGGTGGAAGGAATCTGAAGTTCTTGACATTTTTGAACTATCAACACATTCTAGAATTTAGTGCCTGTGGCATCAGGTAAGGTTTGTTTTGTTTCATTTTTCTTATTACCAACAGCATCTTTACTGATGAAACCCCTTCAGTTATGCGACCAAGGTTTATATACGATGCTATGGTCTGAATGCTTGTGTCTCCTCCCATTCTGTTTAAATCTAATCTCCAGTGTGCTGATGGAATTTGGAAATGGGGCTTTTGGAAAGTAATTAGGTCATAACCTGGAGCCCTGAGGAGAGTAGAACTGGTGTTCTCCTAAGATATGAAAGACCATTTCTCCTGGTCATATGAGGACATAGCAAGCAGGTATCGTATCTTTTACAAGCCTGGAAGGGACCTCTGTAGTGTTTTTGTTAACAGTCTGAAGGAAGAGACGCTTTAGAAGCACGAATGCCATCTCATCATGGAAAAACAGGAAAACTTCTTCTGCCTTAGTTTGCCCTTTGCTATCACCATTTCTCAAAAAAGTTTATGAATTCAAAAAAGAAATAAATTATTCTTATTCCTACCAAGGCCTGACTACACATTGTCTTAGTGAGCCCAGAAAACAATTTAGTAAGAATTACCTTTTGGCAAGATTTATTCAGCAAGCAGTATTCTCTCCCTAACAATAAGATTTAAATTACTAAACTTTCTAATCTAATTGACCTCCCCTTGCAGGAAAAACTGAGTTAACAACAGCCAATAGGTCAAAAGAAAGGACTTTTATTGATGCTGGAGGACCCCAGAGGAGTAATCTCCAGGGTCTGAGGTGATGATTGCAAAGAGCTCATTTATAGGGTGGTGAACAGAAATTACAAAAATGAGATGAAGGGGCTGGGGATTTAGCTCAGCGGCATAAGGGCCTGCCTTTAGTTCAATCCCTGGTACTGATAAAAACTAAAAAGACAAAAAAAAAAAAAAAAAAAAAAAAAAAAAGAGGCAAAAACGAAATGAACTCTAGCTGAAGGCTGTGGCACAAGGGGTATCTTATGCAGTGTGCATATGGAGCAAAGTCGTTTTTGGCACACCCACAGAAGTTTCAGCTTGATGACAAACGATTGAGCGGAGTTCAGTGGCAGACAACTGTATGACTGCAGCCTTGTTGGACAAAAGGACAGCTGTTAGGTCAGGATTTCTGCTTTACTCCTGTTCGGTATTTCTAGTATTTAACATGTGATGCTGGTCTTCATAAAATTTCCATGACTCACTTTTTAATACCCGGTCTTTTGATTCTCTGTACTTTATCTACCACAACCTTTTATTCTTTATTCACTGTCCTCCTCCCACCCTCCCCACGGTTCTGTGTTCCAGGCGGTCCAAAATTACAGCTGCTCCCAGTTCGGATCAAACTTGCAAGCCCTTTCAAATCCTTTCAGTACTTTCTAAGGGAAGCCTTTTATAAGAACTTGTTAGATAGAAATTTACAAATTAAAAGTCTTATTTAAAATTTATTTGTTTTTATAGTACTGCTAGTTGCTTAAATTTCTTATGTGGCTCCATTTCATCCAAAAAGGAAATGGAAAGTGCTTCTAGTAATGCAAGAAAAATTGGCATGAGCCAGGCATGGTGGTACATGCCTAGCCTGTAACCTCAGCACTCGGGATGCTGAGGCAGAATTGCTGTGAGTTCAAGGCCAGCCTGGGCTACATGGAGTTTAAGGCCAATCTAGACTACAGAGCAAGATCCTGCCTCAAAAAACCAAAATCATCATCAACAACAACAAATAGCCATGGCTTACCCAAAGGTCTTCCACTAGAATCTACAGAAAACCTGAATGTAGTGTCTTGGTTACTTTTCTCTCATTGTTGAGACAAAATACCCAATACCCCCAAATTAAGGAAGGTTTATTTAGCTTACAGTTGTGTAGGTTTCAGTTCACAGTCAGCTGGCACCAGGCAGGCTAGCATGGCACCAGCACAACACTTCAGGACAGCAGCCAGCAAAAGCAGCCAGAGCGAAAGAGGGCAGAGCAGTCTCTTTTATTCCTTTATATGGTACACAGGTCACCACCCAGCCTTTGGGGCAGGTTTAGCACTCACAAAATCTCCTTGCCCTCCTCTGCATAGGATAAGGATGCTTACAAAGAAAGAACCCTGGCTCTGTGCTGAGTCTCTTAAACTGCTAAACTGTTCAAGTTGACACAATGTAACAACCATGACAGGTGATTTAGGTGTTCTACATAGAGTTTGGTGCCATTTTTATTTTCTAGCCATAAGAAATCTTCAAACTCATTCTGATTTGTTGAAACTCACCAAATGTCAATTGTCACAGGCAAGTTAACTAAGCTGATTTCTAAAACTACATTACATTATCAGTGACTATGCTTCCTGGCATGATTGAGACCTTGGGTAAAGAGGATTCCTCTAAGTAACAGCATCACCTGTGCAGGAATAAGGGGGTGTCCCTCGAGCAAACTTGGGTTAAAATTATATTTCTTCCTTCAATGGAGCCACAGGTCCAAGAGCAAAGACCACAACCAGTGAATTCACTGCAGGTTTTCACAATAGGAAACCAGTGCTGGAGGTGTAGTAAGGTTTAATTTTGAGGTATATGCTAAACACTAAGATGAGATCTTGCCTCAAGTTAGTTCCGCGGCTAGCCCGCTTTCTTTTTCATAGGGTAGCTGGACTATTAAATGAGAAACAGTATGCTATTAAATGAGAAACAGTATGCTATTAAATGAGTAAAGTATTCCCACTCAGAGAAACAGTCTGAGTATCCAGAAATTTTCTACCCTTTTCCTCCTCCTTCCCGAATAAACGAAATTAGTCCTTGAACTTTAAAAGTATTTTATAAATTAAAAAATTAGTTTTCTATCAGTCTTCTTGTCAGTGTGATTCTGAACGGTTCTCAAGAGTACCTTCTCTTTTATAAAATAAACACTTCATACTGTTTGAAGTATATGTGAAGCTTCATTTTTGTTCAGTGTTCCTTACTTTCCACCCTGAAAAGCTATTTCTGAGGAACTCAAACCCCAGAAGATAGCCACCACAAAAACGTTAATTTTTTTTTTTAAAAAAGATGATTCAAAGCAAGACTTAAGGAGAGGTAATATTTCGGAGTTAAAAGGCAGCAAATGCAGCCTCTGAAGGGACTTGTTCTAATTATTACCAAAAAATAAAGTTACACAGCTGTATTCAAGGTCACAAAGTAAAGCAGTACTTTAAAACTAGACTGAGTGAGCAGGCGGAAAAACAAAAAACAAAAACAAACAGAACTGAAGAGGGAAGGGAAAAGGACGGAAGAATGATCTGAACTGGAACACAGATCCGTCGGTCCTCGGTGCTGCTGTACTCCGAGCATCTCGAGTCATGTTTTTCTATTCTTATTTCCATCCTCACTGACGTCTCAAAGGAGCATTTCAGTCATTGTGTTAGGACTCAAAATTTCAATCCAGTAGCCGTCAGGATCTTGAATAAATGCCAGGCCTTTCATTTTACCTGTAAAATGGAATGATTTCATTACTGGAAACAGGAAAAAAAAAAAAAAAAAAAAAAGAATCCTTAAAAGTTAGGAACGCTTTTATTCAATTATAAATTTATATTTTAATGAAATACATTGCTTTGACTACAGTTTTCATTTTTAAAAATTCTGTAACGTTGCCCAATGCTCAGTTTTCATATTGACTGCAATACTATCTTCCACATGTAGCTGGAAACCGTCCTCCTGAAATAAACTTGGGACGGACTGCTTCTCTCAGCCAGCATTTGGTAACAGGTGTTGGCCCCACTGTTGTGACACCATTTCATGACACCAGGTCAGTAGTCACGGAAATTAACGAAGTTAGACACGATGTGCCTGTAATCCCAGCTACGCAGGAGGCTGAGGAAGAGGCTCCTTTGAGTGCAGGAGGTCCACACTGCAAGACCCCATCGTAAAAAAACCCCAAGGAAATAAAAAGAGGAAGGTGCTCAACAGAGCAGGTCGTGTCGCTAACCAAAGAAGCCAGACGCTAGGTGCCTGGGTATAAATCATCTGAAACAGCTGCGTAACGGCTCTGGTGAAATGTGCTTTACCTCCCCTTTAGCCCTCTGAAGCCAGGTGCAGCGGTGCACACCCATAATCTCAGCACTGAGGGACACTGAGGGAGGAGATCACAAGCTCTGAGTCCCACCTGGGCAGCTTAGTGGGACCCTGTCTCAAGACAAAAACAAAAGGCCTGGAAATGTGGCTTAATATGAGAGGACCCATGGGTGTGCACCCCGGAACCAAAAACAAAAACAAAAAACAAAAAGACCCACAAAGCATTAAAAATCAGGCCCTTTCCCTATATTAAAAAAAAAAAAAAAAATCCAATAAAAATGCTCCATGATAAATCCACTGTCTGTTTTTCTTGAAATATAAATTTGATGTGGACCATCCTCCCTCTTCCCTTTGCTTCCAAAAATATCACCCAATCCCGGTCCTCAGCTGATCCCACCAGGCAGGCTAAGCCGAGCCAATGAGATTCTGCCTGCCAGGAACTGATAACCAGGATGAGGAGGCTAAAAGGTCAGAGTTTGCTTAAATGCAGATATGTGGCCTGGAGATTTAGGTTGGGACCAAAATGCTGAATTGATTTGATTCTTATCTCTGGCTCCAGAGGAACAGAGATGAGAAAAGGAGAGAGAAGGGTGAGAAGCCCTGGAGGGATACCTGAGGGAAGGCTGGATGGGGCGCAGTGACTATTTTAATCGCAGTGTGTGTGGAAGTAGAGCAGACCCAGGTCAGAAGCACATCATGATTGTGGGGTAAAAACAATTTTTTGGAGGCTGGGGATTTAGCTCAGCGGCATAAGCACCTGCCATGCTAATATTAAACAAGAACAAGAAGATTATTAAAAGAATAAGCGCAATTTAGGGATGAAAATTAAAATAGATTAGGAATACAATAGGTGAGTTAAATGTCACAACAAATACAGTTGGAGAAAAAGAGTGAACAAACATTCAGAAAAACATTAAGGACAAAGAATGTTATAAGAAGCGTTCAGAACGAAGCAGAAGACACACAGTGATATAGATAAAAGAACAGGAGTCAGACTGACAGCAGATGTTTCAATGGCACTGTGTGCAAAATGTAAGGGAGCAGCATTTTCAAGACTAAAGAAAAATAAACCTAGGACTGTCAACAAAACAGTCACTCACACACAGGCCCAGGACTCGGCTCATACAAGCTCAAGAGTTTTGCCTTGCAAACTTCTTGAAAACAATTTTGAGGTATTTCAAATAAAGACAGAAAGTTTCAGATTATAGTATAAGAGATGTACAGAGAAAGATGATCAAAATAGCTTCACATATTTACCATTATATTTTTAAAAGGCAAGCTCAAAGAAAAAGGAAATGAGTAACACGGCAGTCTAGGTAACAATAATATAAGGTTAGTAGAGGAGAATGGGTCCTCTTGGAGAAGTGATCTGGATATTATGCATTGAATTAATGTTTCAAATTAAAATTGAAATAAAATCCAGTATCAGAAACAGATCTAAGGAAAATAATCATAATACACGTAAAGCCAACAAAATCCAGATATATGCTACCCTAATAGCCACACCTAAAACACACATACACAGAAAGATTGTAAATAATGAGCAAGGAATTGCTAGATAATCTACTACTAATAACTGACTTAAAAAGACTTAAAGAAGGTTACTTTTGAGTGTCCAGAATATACCTCGAAATAGTGAAACTGGTGGCCGAGGAGAGACTGAAATTAAGTGAGACTGGGAGAAAGAGCCTGAGATTTGATGGCTCTCCAGACCCTGCGTCCAGTCTGTGTGAAGCACCCTAGTTGTTCTTTCTGCTTCCTAGAATACCCGGATATTCTCCTAATTTTTCTTCTTTCCTTAAGCAGGCTGAAGGAGACGCCCGTTACCTGTAACAGTTTCAGCACAACCGAGCCCACAGTGGGTGCTGAGGAACACGGCTTAACCGAAGCAAGGCACGAGCACAGAAAGCAGCAGACTCACCCTCATCAGGTTTCTTCACAAACTTGACTCCCAGTTCTTCAAATCTTTTACAAGCACCATATACATCAGGAACAGCAATTCCAATGTGACCTTAGGTGACACCAGCGGCCCCACCATAAAAATAGAGAAAAGGAAGAAGTAATTACAAGAGGTTCAACCACCACAAGTGGTTTCCAACACATAATGCAAAACATAAGGCATCTGAAAACCAAAAACAAACAAACCCACCAAAACAAAAACAAAACTACACCAATAAAAGCGTAATCATCTGCTCATGCAGAATAGATTGCTCTCAGCATTCACTATATAGCAACCTCCGGAAGCCCATAATTCTGTCGTGCTAATTTGAGAGATTTTAGAACAAGGAAGAAGTGTACACTAGCAGAAACAGGGTAGGTTTTTATTGATTAAAAAAAATCTACTGAAAATATAATACTAAGACTTAAAGAGTAAAACTACGAGAAAAGTGTGTGTAGACTATTGATTCTGAAATTATACAGCGCTAAATAAAGATTTATAGAAAATAAACCAGATTTCTACTGAACTGATTATACTTGACATTTACACCATGACTGGTTTAGATGCACACCATACAAAAGCCCGTAAATCCACATATATTGGTATTACATACAAACAGACAAACATACCAAATCCCCGCGGGTCTGAGTTGCCATTGTGGTAACTCTGGTTGTCATCATCTTCAGTTCCCCAATTGCTACGAAAGAAGGCAAAACGTAACTTACAGTTCTGTCCTACAGAGCAGACATTCTGAAAAGAAATCTGCCTTTGAAATCTTTCCACGTACACATACTACTTCACACACTTGGCGTGGCCCCCGCTACAACAAATACTGAAATTTTCAACTGTTGAAAGGGCAAACAGGAAATGTATGACTTTCATGAAAGAGACAGTAAAAAGAGGCACCTGGACAAGAGCTTCCATTGATTGTGTTAAGTACTTCGTATTTCATTAAACCCTCAAAAGAGCTGCACAAGCTAGTTTTTTGTTTTGCTTTGCTTTGTTTTCTCTTTTTGAGCCAGGGTCTCGCCATGCAGTTCAGGCTGGCCTTGAGCTCACTTTGTAACTCAGGCTGGTCTTAAACTTGCAATGATCCTCCTGCCTCAGCCTCGCAAGTGCTGGGATTACACCACCTGGCTCCACAGGCTAGCTTTGAATACTTCATTTATAGATGAGATGGCCACCTGGAGAGAGGTGACTTAGTTTGTTCAAGGTCATAGATTGTCAGAGTTAAGACCCATGTCTAGGTCTGTCTGACTCTGAAGCTTTGTTTTGAATCAAGGGTACCATTGAATCACAGATCTGGAAACAAATCCTTTTTTGGCAGTTGTTAAAGAGTGTGGAGAAAAAACTGTTAAGAAATAAAAAGCAATCCAGCCATGGTGACACAGGCCTGTTTTCACACTCTGGTTTTATTTTATTTTATTTTTTTTGGTACAGGAATTAAACTCATGACCTTGCACTTGCCAGGCAGGCTCTTACGTCACTGAGCTAAATCCCTGGCTATAATGACACTCTGAAGGGCTGAGGCAGAAGGGTCACAAGTTTGAGCCTAGCACTGGCAACTTAGCAAACTCCTATCTCAAAACAGAAATATAAAAAACAGGGTTGGGGACACAGCTCAATGTGAAAGTTCTGGGCTCAATCCCTAGTATTATGAAAAATAGATAAAAATAAAAAATAACTTTAAAAATGCTTATTTATATGTTTTTAATGCTCAGGTTATAAAAATGCCTTAAAACTTTGGCTGGGAATTAGCTTAGCAGCACAGCACCTGCCTGGCAAGTGAGAGATCATGAGCTCAATTCCCAGTACCAAAAAAAAAAAAAAAAGCCTTAAAATTCAAAGGTTAAGTACAAAATTGTTTGATGATTTAATTAAATTGCTAAGAAAAAAATAAAAAATAAAAATAAAACAAAATGTTATTCATACTCACTGTGTCAATTCAAGTGTAGCTTTTCTGGAGAATGCCCATGCTATTTTTTCATTTTTATTTTTAGGGATATCGTTTTTATCCTCATAAGCCAAGAAATAGAGAGAAAATTTCATAGTAGGAAAATCTAATTTTTGGAGTAGCCTGAAATTTAAAATATGACAAGCATATATCATTAACAGGAAAAGCTGATTTCCCCTCTTTTTTTTCAAATAGGTCAAATTTTCTAAACATAGATATGTATTAGTTAAACTGTTCTCTCAATGTCAATTTAGATATAAATGAAACATAACTTATTCTATACAAACACATATGTTATTAAAAGCAAGCCAAAAACATGTTATTTAGGGAAATGAACCAAGAAAATATGTCAGTTGTACTTCAATAACAATGGGGAAGAAAAAACATAAATGTGTTTTAAAGACGCTAAGATCAATGGATGTTTAGCAAACAATAATGCAATCCAAAAAAAATGAAACAGCGCAGGGTTAAGTAAACTCATCCTCTTTCCAAGTAATTTGCCCTTATATTTACATTTTCTGCAATAAACAAGGGGCTAAGCCAGCGGGGTGGTACCATGTGCCTGTGATCGCAATTCTCTGGGAGGCTGAGGCAGGGCAACTTAGAGAATTAATGAGACCCTGTCTCAAATAAAAAGTATTACAAATGGCTGGGAATGTAGCTCAGGGCAAAGGTCTTGGGTTCAATCCCATGTAATGAGGAAATCAAACAAACAACCCACCCGCCCAAGAGGCTAAAATGGTCAGAATATCAAAAAGGGTTTGAACATATTAAGGATTTAGCTGGCACCTCTCAGGGAGAAGGGAATTTGAAGAAAATGTATTTGAGCCTGGCCAAAATAAAGGCACTTACTCCTAAGCCCTACCTAGTCAGGACTCCTTACAGATTCTTGGCTGAAACTAACCTCTGTTACTTTTGAAACACACTTTGCAATGCTATTGATTTAAATATTAGGTGCTAATATATATTTTACTTACGTCATTCCAAGAACTCTAGTATAAAAATCCAACGACTTCTTAGGATCCTTAATTCGTAGCATAGTCTGCTGCAACAGAAAATCCTAAAGACAAACAGCATATATATTAAATACCTTCAACTTTTGCCACTTCTTGGCAACATTAACTATTCTTAACAATGTATAAACAGTTCACCATTATAACACAAAGTTAAGGTGAAAAACGAGAAAACCTGTACTTAGAGCCTATCATAAAAATCCAGCATGCCCATCACCTATGACCTGCAGCTCTCCACTAGTATTTTCTGGTTGCAGGGCCCTGTGTGGGTCAGCTCAAAAACTGCCAAGAGTGATGGTGCACACTTGGAATCCCAGCACTGGGAGGCTGAGGCAGGAGGCTGGCTCCAAGATTGAGGCCAGCCTAGGCTGCATAGTGAGTTCAAGACCAGCCCAAAACACATACTAAGCCCCACTCTCAAAAAAAAAAAAAAAAAAAATCACAAAAGAATGCCAGGAACGACCCTCAACCAATGGTAGATTTAAAAAAGTCAGGCTTCCTTGCTCCTTTAGTGGGACAGAGCACCTTCTACATGGTTCCTCAGAGACTACCCTATTGAGACTGAACTCCAAATGCCCACAAGGATAACAGTAAGGCCTGAAAATTCAAGCACGCTTTTGCAGCTGCATAGCTATCTTTTCCCCATAATTCATCTCTTATAAACACTTCATTCATCCTGCATTGCTAGAAAATGATACTCTTCTGTTGTGCTACTTTTATTTTATTATTATTATTTTTTGTCTTTTTGAGACAGGGTCTCGCTTATGCAGTTCAGGCTGGCCTTGAGCTCTCTTTGTAGCCCAGGCTGGTCTCAAACTCAAAAATGATCCTCCTGCTTTAGCCTCCTGAGCGTGAGCCACCACACCTGGCTGTCTTGCTAATTGAGACCCTGTCTCCAAATAAAAACAAAAAACATTGTATCTTATAATCACATATAAGGCCCTGCGTTCCATGTCTTCAGAATATGCAGATCACTTTCCTTAGCCTGGACTGCTCTCCTAATGGTTTTAGTTTTAATAAGCAGGTGAGAAAGAGAGATCAGTTCTTGATCAGTGTGTACTGGCCTAGCCTTCAGAGCTAGGGTTGGGGTCTCCTTTGTTGAACATAGTCCAAAAAATACCTACAAAGTCGCTCTCTGCCTGCAATGAACTGAAACCAAAATCTTTTTTTTTTTGTCATTTTTCAAAAAATTTTAAAAATAAAACATTTATAAAGCAGCAAGATGACTCTCATGTAATATGCTTGTGTGAGCTCAGATTAAAACAAGTCACAGAGAACACTCCAAAAACAGCAACCCTCTCCCTCTTCCAGCTAATGGGTGATCCCCACAGATTCCCTGTCTGTTAGGATGTTTCCCCAGGGAGGCCAACTTCCAGGCAAGACCTGTGTGCTCATCAGACCAGACCCTGGCACTTCAGAGGCTCTGCGTGACAGGCCTCGTGGGGCTAAGCCATCCTCTCTACAGTAGACTCAGTGCTCAGCCAGTGTCTGGAGGGAGTTGTAGATAAGAACTAAACTTTAAAGACGTCCTTGATCATTTTACCGAACATGAACCTACGTGCTGCTGGAAGGGACTTTACAGATGGAATTAAAGGTTATGAGGCAGCCTTAAAATAGGGGGATTGGTTTAGTGCAGTGAGGTACGTTCAGTGGACTCGCCAGAGACATTAAAAGCAAAAAAGGAGGGTAAAAAAGTCAGAGATAGCAAAGAAGGCAGAGATGTGACAGAGAAGTCAGACAGACGGCAAGGGTGAGAAGGAGTTTACTCCAGCTACTCGCTTGAGACGATACAAGGAGTTAAAGGCAGACCTCCACCAGCTCCTGGCAGACAAGGAAGAGCCAGCAGGGAACCAGGACCTCAGTTCTATAATTGAAAGGATTTGCACTCAGGCAACAACCTGAATTTAGAAGTTGATTCTTCTCCGTAGCCTCCAGTGAGGAACACAACCCTTTCAATACCGTCGTTTTGAACCAGTGGGACCCACGTCAGACTTCTAACTTATACAGCTATGAGATGATATACTTCTAACCAAGCTGCACCCAAGGTCACCGCTCATTTCTTCAATATCACAGAAGGCCTTTTATATCTCACTCACAGGAAGAGGAAGACAGACCAGACAAATTGTGAGGAATTATTTTTGAGAGGCAATATAGTTCAAATGCTGGCTCTACAAATGGGACCTTAAGATTAATCTCCTTGAATCTCAGCTTCTGCGCCTTTAAATTGAGGGTAATTTATAGTTTCTAGCTCCTATGGTTGAGCTGAAATGTAAATGGAATAATGCATGAATGTGCTTAGCATAATGTGTGGCCTACAGCAAGCAACTTTGCTTATTATTTGTCTTACTGTTATTAATACAAAATACACTGAGTTTCTACCAACTATTGCTTTTGATTTCTGAATCTGCATTCCTCAGCCTATGCTTTTAACAACCTCAACACTAAACTTAACCTCCCCAATACCCACTTACTTCTGCTGGCGTCAAACATTCAGACTACATTCAAAAGGTCCAACCTTGGTCCTCAGTTCCCCCAGGGAAACCTCCTAGATGTGGCTTTGCACACCTTCAACAATAGACAAAAAACAGGATGACCTTAAAAAGTTGTATTCCAGGCTAAAACTCCAAGGCCAATTTCTGGCCATGCCAGCTGCAGCTGCAGCACTTGAGACCTGAGATAAAACACAGGCCAGAGGAGAAAAAAACCCAAGCCCCGCCCCTTCCATGCTTCAAGTGCAGCAGAAAACAGTACTGGACACAAGCTTGCCCTGACCTGTGGCCATGACTGGGAACTGGTCCCATCTGCAATCAAGCGGGGCCACTGGAAGTACGACTGCCCTGTCCCCCAGAGAGTGGGTCAGCCTCACCTTCCCTGCCCTCACAGGATAAGACACTGCCACCTCGGACTCATCACCAGCTGATCTGCTCTGCATCGCCGATGAAGAAGATTGATAGGGCTCAGTGCCCACAGCCCTCACCGAGGTAGCTCTCTCAGAGCCCCAAGTCTTGCTGGACATCTCAGACTCCTCTCACGGTTCATCCAAGCCAAAATACAGGGGTTCACCTCGAGAGAAATCCTTCCTGGGTGACACAACTACCTTGCAAACTCGGATGCAACAGGCCCCTCAACCCAGACCCCCTTTCCCTAGGTCCCGGGCCACCCTCGTTCAGCAGGAAGTAGCCAGAGAGACAATGAGCACCCTTTAACACACAAGTGATGGGGATTATAGGGCCCTGCCTGGGGCCCCCAGTCATGGCAGCGTGCAATGCTGAATCATCGGGGTGCTTAGCTCCTTCTTCCCAGAAGTCCCTATGGTTCTGCCTCCCAAAAGTCTTTGCCAAAGTTCATGCACGTAAAGATCTACCCAGTTGCCTGCACTCTCACAAAATAAATTAGCTTACATCAGCCCCCAAATTCCCTTCCCCATCAGAGCCTATTATCAAGCAGAACCCACCCTGTGTCTGCAAAGAGCTGTCACAGCCTTCTCTGTGGTGACGCCTTCTGTGCCCACATTAAACTCTTTCTTATCTAGTTGTCTCCTCTCTTTTAATATCAGCTCAATCACTGTGTTCCCAGAGTGCTTTGTAATTCCATCAGTCCATTAATCTCAGGTCTACCTTATGTACAGATGGGGTATGTTTGGTGAAGGGACCTTTAGCCCAGTACTCCCCAAAGTTCCTACCATGATTTTTGCATATAGAGGACAATCAACAATCAACCTGAATTTAATGCATTGAAAAAAAGCTTTTTTCCAATTCATAGCAAATTCCAAACTCACTGCTTGAATCACTACCCAAAAGCAGACAGGTTAGAGGCTGACGGTATGAACTCATCTATGGTCAATCACCCGACATCTCTCCGTCTAAATCTTCTTAGGGTTAGGGTTAGGGTTAACTATTTTAAATCATCAAGAGAAATTTAAACAGTGTGGAAGTAAGTAATTAAGTGATGTGGAATGTAAATCAAGGAAGCCTACCTATAATCTCAGCACTTCAGTAGGCTGAGGTCGGAAGATACCAAGTTCAAGTCCAGGACGGGCAAGCAGAAGTCTTTCTCAATTTTTTTTTAAAAGGCTGGGAATTTAGTTAAGCATGAAGGATCTTGGTTCAATGCCCAGTTACTGAGGTGGGGGAAAAATGCCGCCCTAGAATAAATTACTGAATACTATAGTGGTCTAACATGGCAGAAAGCCAGAGCAAAAAGGACACTTTCCCTGATGACCACTTCCTCCTCAGCCCTGATTATAACTTTCTCTTTCTTTTCCAGAGCCCTCAAAGAAATTTTCAATCATTTCCTAAAGCATCATCAACACGCACCCCAAACTCTGCCTCTGGCCAGAGGTCATGTAACCCCGGCCCTTCTTGTCTCCGTCAGAGGAGGGGTCTAGGCTTACCAGTGGTGTGCTCTTCTCCATGTCCTCAAAAAAGGCTTCTTTTTCTTTCTTTCACCGCTCTATTGAACCAAAAAACCCCCAACATTGGTGCCGTCTGACTCAGATTAGCAGTGTATGTGGCTCCCAGGGTTACCTCTGATTGTGAGCTCCCCTGCATACGAGCCGCCCTTCCTTCCTCTGGGACCTGCCTATTTGCATTGCTAGCCTACATCCAGCACTGATCCACCTCATTTGTCACAGCTGAGCCACCTCTCAGTTGGGGCTCCCTGCCTCAGTTTCTCAGTCTCAGAAATGCATGAGCTCAGGAAATCTCCTGCATGTCCCTTGGGCAGAGATAACAGCTCTCATGCACCTCTTGGGCAGGACTACTGCCCTCAAACCCCAACGCAGGGCTGTTACCCTCTGGTCCTCTGGGACACCCCCACCCCAACACTCTCAGTGATGGCCACTGAGAATGGACGTAGGGTTTCTTGTCACACTCGCAGAACAGGGACCCCGGCTATTTTTAGCCATAGCTCCTGGCTCACCTCTAACTTGTCACTATGGGGAATACTTTTTTCCATCCTCCAACAAACACACCGCTGGGATGCCTGGTTTCCAACCTTGACACTCTTGGTCTCTGGAAAACTTACTCAAAAAGCTGGTCTTTTACTG